CTTTCTTGCTAATCGGTTATGGATAGCACTAACTCTTTTCCAATTTGCAATTTTCTTAAATAAAAACATTGTCAATTAGATAAAGCTGGCTAAAATAAATGAGAGATTTTAAATGAAGTTTAGAACCAGTCCAGTTCCTGTTGGTTAGTTTTTCTTATTCAGAAGTAATAGGTGCTCAGAACAGGAAAAAAAAAAAAAGAAGATACAGCCAAGCGAAAAGTAGTTCATAGAGAATTCATAGAGAACACCCAGAATTCCACCGATCCAGAGACCGTGCTTGTTGGTGTCTTGTTGGGATCCTTCCAGAAAGAGGTTCTTAACGTGTATTGGTGGATGGGCTTTGGGGGAAGAGAGCCCCTGAATGATTTAACAAACCCCCTCTCATGAGCCATTTAGGATGTTTCCATTATTTTACCATTACAAAGGATGCCGTGCAGAGAGAAGCCAGATGAAAAAGAATTAGAACTTAATGAGAAAACAAGAAGAAAAACAATCTGAACACTGACAAAAATGCTTTAAAGGGCACAAAAGGAGTGCACAAAAATTACCATTCAGAGACAAAGGATTAGTGCTCATTTTCAGCCATTTACATTTAGGTCAACAAATATTTACCGGGCAGATGCTGTTACATGCCAGACCCTGTGCCAGGTGCTTCCCTCCTGAAGAAGAGATCTTCAGGTGAAGCAACCAATCCCACGGTCTGCTCCTCAAGTCAATGCCCAGCATCTGTGATGTCCTGCCCTGGCAGGAAGGGCCTGCCAGCTCCCTGTTGAGTCATTGACCTGTGAGCATGCCCAGACCTTCCAACAAAGTATCCGTGAACAGATGGCCACGGCATGGGGGCAGCAAGGCCCAGACCTTTGAGGACAGACTATGCTGGTGACACTAGAAAAGGTTCTGCAGCCTCAAGAGGGGATGAGTGGGGATGGAGAGAAGCTGAGTCAGCCCTGACTGGAGGATATAAACTGCTGTCCTCCCTGCAAAAAGCCCGTGTGCCTGAGAGCAGTGCTTTTCCCACTCGTGTGTGTTGATCTCCTGGGGGTCTTGTTAATTGTGGATTTCGATTTAGCAGGTCTAGGGTTGGGCCTGAGATTCTGCATGTCTTACTAGTTCCCAGTGATGTGCTGATACTTCAGACCAGACTTTGAGTAGCAAAGCCCTAGGGCAGTGGAATCACAGTCTCCCGGAAGAACTTTAAAAATATGGAAAGTTTGGGGCTTCCCTGGTGGTGCAGTGGTTGAGAGTCCGCCTGCCGATGCCAGGGACATGGGTTCGTGCCCTGGGAAGATCCCACGTGCCGCGGAGCGGCTGGGCCCGTGAGCCATGGCTGCTGAGCCTGCGCGTCCAGAGCCTGTGCTCTACTGATTCAGAATCTTCTGGTCCATTTATTCAGTAGTTCTCAACCGGGACTGCATGTTAGAATCATTTGAACAGTTTTTTAAAAAGCCGATTCCCAGGGTCAAGAATCATGTGATAGCCTCCCTTCTTCCTTCCCTCCCTCCCTCCCTCTCTCTCTTGCGGCTTTAGTTTGAAAGTCTCCCGCAGGTGACTCTGATGACCAGCCCAGTTTGCTTGGGGACCAGAGGCGGTGTTTCTGAGTCCTGGCCGCACATCAGAGTCACCCGAGAGCTTTACGACTTGTCGATATCAGGGCCCCTCCCCGCAGACCAATTGATTGAGAATTTCTAGGGGCTGAAGCCAAGTGATTAGCGTTTCACAAAGTTCCCCAGGGTGCAGCCCCTAGGGTAGAGACTGATATAAAAATCATCTTGAGATTCTTAGTGGAAGTACAAGTTACCACACTCTCTGCCGAACATTCAGTTCAAGGTCTGGGGTGAGGGCCAGGAACCTGTATGTTTAACAAGAGATGCTCATGAGATGGCAAGTTTGGGAAACGTTAAGGTAGAAAAAAGATCCTTGGGTTGGAGTCAGAAAGACAGTGCTCCTGGCTGTGTGACTTCTCACAGGTCACTTAGCCTCTCTGAGATTTGTATCTCCATTGATAAACCAGAGATGATAATAACTGCCTGAGGCAGGGATGGATAAGATCTGTTTACCCATCCATAGGACAGTTGTTGGAAAGTGGCTGCTACAGGCCAGGGACTCACATACCCAGCTCTGCTTTGCATTTAAGTGGGGCAGCCGCAGGGTTCTGTCCAATGGAATGTGAGCAGAGTGAGGAGTGCTCACCTGGTGTTCTGCTCTCTCTTTACTATCTGCCCATAAAGATCAATGCCCATTGGATATCAATGCCTGGGTGATCTTGGAAGCCACAAAGGCAGGTTGACAGAACCCCCTGCCCCTCCCCCCACTGGCTGCTAATTGGACTTAATGTGAGTGAAAAAAAACTTCAACTTTCTTGGGTAAAGAAAGTCACTGGGATTTGGCAGTTTAGCTGTTGCAGTAGCTAGTGCTATATTAACTGACACACTGCCTCGAGGATTGTGGCAAAAACTAAGTTATCAAAAGCAGAGGCTGCAAACAAACTACACGAGGGCTTAGCTCTGGCTCACAGCTATGTTCGTTACAAGACCAACTTGGGGTCTATGAGTCGCCACAATTCCCACCACACCCTGTGGGATCATACCTGGCCGGCCTCATATTTACGGCATTTATGGCATTTCTCTGATCTCTGTGGCTTCCTGAGTCAGCGGGCCCTGATGTAATAGATGTAGAAGTTAGATGTATTCGCTGTTAGGATTTTTCACAGTGAATTCCTTTAGGTGACTTTTAATTCCCAGGAGAACCATTCATCCTGCCCAGAATTTGGAAGCAAAATCTTCTGAGTGATCCTTACTGGCTAAAGGATGTCGTCCAGCCCCACCCCACCCTGTGACCATTTCAGCATCTGTTCTATGGAGGTAGCAGGAGGAGGAGAAAAGAACTCAGGTGCTGGGACTTCCCTGGCGGCCCAGGGGTTAGGACTTCACCTTCCAATGCAGGGGGTGCGGGTTCGATCCCTGGTCGGGGAGGTAGGATCACACATGCCTCGTGGCCAAAAAACCAAAACATAAAACAGAAGCAATATGGTCACAAATTCAATAAAGATTTTAAAATTGGTCCAAATCCAAAAAAAAAAAAATCTTTAAGAAAAAACAGCAACAAAACCTCAGGTGTATCTGGGGATCAGGTAGACGCGGATCCCAGCTCCAGCTCTGCTGGTTCCTAGGTGATGATACGAGGTGAGACATTTTCTGTTTGCCGAGCCTGTTTTCCCCTCTGTCAAGTGTCGACATTAATACTCTTCTTGTGGGATTTCTGTAAAGGACCTGGCTAAAGGTCCTGAGATGACCATGTTAATTCCTCCCTCTTTTCCTGTAGTGTGGGGACCAAGACCGGCTTTGCCCCCAGTAGTAAGGGGAAATCCAGTAGTATCTCTTTTTTTTATCAACTTTGAATTCTTTTTTTTTTTTTAATTTATTTTTGGCTGCGTTGGGTCTTTGCTGCTGTGCGTGGGCTTTCTCTAGTTGTGGCGAGCGGGGGTTGCTCTGTTGCAGTGCGCGGGCTTCTCATTGCAGTGGCTTCTCTTGTCGCAGAGCATGGGCTCTAGGCCCACGGCCTTCAGTAGTTGTAGCACATGGTCTTCAGTAGTTGTGGCATGCGGGCTTCAGTAGTTGTGGCATGCGGGCTCTAGAGTGCAGGCTCAGTAGTTGTGGTGCACGGGCTTAGTCGCTCCGCGGCATGTGGGATCTTCCCAGACCAAGGCTCGAACCCGTGTCCCCTGCATTGGGAGGTGGATTCTTAACCACTGCGCCACTAGGGAAGCCCCAACTTGAATTCTTTTGAAAAGATACAAATAATGCGCTTCTATTGTAGGTATATTAATCTGCTCTGGCTGCCATAACAAAATACCGGAAATTGGGTGGCTTAAACAACAGAAATGTATTTTCTGGAAGCTGAAAGTCCAAGATCAAAGTTGCCAATGGAGGGCAAACTGAGAAGCTTATTTTCCTGGTGCATCTAGTTGCTCAATGATAAATAAAACATTATAGCAAGGTAAGCAAGGATATATTAAGGAATTTATGTAAAGTTCCCATGAATGTTTAGGATAAACTATGTGTCAGCAAAGGCATCATGGGGCTCCTCTAGTCATGCCTCAGTCTCCTGGCGTGAAAGTGTGACCTTGGACCAATGAATGACTTGACATCGCTGAGCCTCACCTCCCTCATGTGGAAAAAATTATTACTGTGCAGGTGAAATGAGGTGATGCATGTAGAGTGCTTGGGTTGATAAATGCTTGCTGTGCTGTTGTTTACATTATTGTCATGTTATGACCTTATGGCTAAAAACAGAGACTCTGGAGCCGGTCAGCCTGGATTTGAATCTCAGCTCCACCACTTTCTAGCTAGATGACCTTGGGCAAGGTCACTTAGCCTCTCCGTGCCTCAGTTTCCTCCTCTGTCAAGTGAGGCTAATAGGATTATTGTGAGGGTTAAATGAATTGATGGTGCCTGGACACACAGGAGTGCTATGTAAGTGTTTGTTCAATAAATCATAATGTGTTCCCTTCTGCCCTTAGAGGTCCTTCTGGAGAAAAGTTAGAAAATAACAGCTTCAAAGAGAGACGAGCTATTTCCAGACACTGATTTATAAAGGAATGTATTTCTATAACACCAGTTGTCCTATTTGCCTTTTAGAAGATTTGAGAGGCAGAATGCGTTTATAATGGTGGAATCTTCGGCAGGTGGCTGGCCAGATTCGAGCTATCTGGGGGCATGGCCCACTTCCCTATGGCTCCTGGTGCCCTTCCACCGAGCCTGACCTTGGACTGGTGGCTTTTCTGGCACGGGCCAGGGGTGGGCCAAGGGGAGGAGGAGGAAAGGAGCTCCCGGGATCCCCCTCGCCCCTCCCCCACTCGCCCAGCGAGTAATGACATTCACGGGGATGGGAGGGAGGGAGCGAAGGAGAGGGGCAGGCTCGGCGAGGCCATGTGATGCTGGGCGAGAGAGAGCCGCCACCGCCGGAGCCTCCTTCTTTCTTCCCTCTGATTTCGGGCTGTCATGGCGACCCCCAATAACCTGACCCCCACCAACTGCAGCTGGTGGCCCATCTCGGCGCTGGAGAGCGATGCGGCCAAGCCGGTGGAGGCCCCCGAAGCATCCGAAGCGGCCAGCCACGCCCATTGGCCCAAGGAGAGCCTGGTTCTGTACCACTGGACCCAGTCCTTCAGCTCGCAGAAGGTAGAGCCCGGAGGGAGCAGGGGAACCCGACCGATGCACCAGGAGGCTTGGGGGAGGGGATCCGGGAGGGCTTAAGGGGTCTGAAGACCTGGTGAAAGACTGGAGGGTAGAATCGGGGGGCTTCGGGGCCCAGAGGATGGGGGAAGCTGGGCTGCCCTCCCGGGAGGTGACTGGCGCTGTCTTGGGCCCCAGGAGCACCGACCCTAATTCTAGGAACACCCGTTCTGCCTCTTTCCCTCCCAGAAAGACCCGGTCTGTTGAAGAGCTGAGAAGAGAGACAAAGGCAAGGGGAAGGGAATGGGCACTGCTGGGAAGGCGGCCTGTCGGAGGGGGCTGCTGCTGCGGGGAGCGGGGAGGGGCGCTTCCTGGGGTCCAGCCTCCGGCCCCAGTAGTCCCATCGCAGGCCCTCCCCCCCTCCCCCCCACCCCCGCGCTGCTGTCCCCATGCCACAGGCCTGCGGGTCAAAGCTCCTCTGCCCTTCTGCCCGGCTGGGGGCCTTCTGATTGGGGCTTGAAGGGTCTGACCCTAGCCCTCCCCCCACCCCACCCCCAATCTTGAGCTGAGAAGGAAGGAGTTAACCCATCTCCTCAAACCAGCTCAGCAGGCCCGTAAGGTCTGTGCTTTTTGCTCTTAAAGGCACAGACGGCCACACGGTCCCATCTCAGACTCAGGGGAGCTAGAAGGCGGTTGGGAATGCAGCCTGGTGTTGAGTTATCGGGGTTCCCGCTTCCTGGGGGTGAGGTCCAAGCACTGAGCCTGCAAGACCGGGGGCCTCTAGGAGCGCAGTCTCTCACCCTGGGCTGTCCTCTCTGTGGGGTACGAATTCAGCACCATGGCCAGGTCCCAGCAGCCGGTCCTGTTGGAGCCTAAGGGTCACCCATTGCCTGACCCTTCGACTTCTCTTCTCCCTGGAAGATCCTTTTGTTCCATTCACTCATTTTCCAGATGGAGAAACAGATTCCTTAAAGAGAAATGGCCTTGGAACCAGGCTCTTTGGTTTGATTCTTGGTCTAGGCTCAGTTCCATCATCTGGAAAATGGGATAATAATAACAATAACAGCAACTTCTTCTAATTGCAACCCCCTCTCAGGATTGCTGAGGGTTGTTGAACAGGCGGTACTGCTTAGTGTTCTACACTGGCACTGGTCAAACTTGAGCATACATTACTGGTTCAAGCACAGAATACTCGGTCCCACCCCAGAGATTTTGATTGAGCAGATCTGGAGTAGGGCCCAAGATGCTGCATTCTAACAGGCTACCAGGTGAGGCTGATGAAGCTGGTCCACTGATCCCCCTTTGAGTAGTTCCTAGTTTAAAGTACAGACTATGAGGCCAGAAAGTCCCCAGCAGGAGAGCCATCTTCTCCAATAATTCACCATGGAGTTTTCAGCAGGTCACTTTGCTTCCCTAAAGTCTCAGTTTTATAATCTGTAAAATGGAGCTAGTGGCAGTACCTTCTTCAGAAGGCTATTGTGATGGTGAAATGAGATGATGCACAAAAAGTGCTGATCGCAGTGCCTGGCATGGTGTCAAGGCTCTGTTCATAACGGGTGTTATGATATCACTATAGTGCTAGGTAAAGGAGGGGTTGGAGTTAACCAAGGTCATGCTGGGACTCTTCTGTACATGCATGCTGAACACCTACTGCATGCCAGGCTCTATACAAGTTGCTGGGGGGTTTGGGAATGAATCAGACTGACCTCCAGATGCCAGGATGTCCTCCTCCCCAGAACCTCAGGAGCCAGGCCCCAGTGACCAGGAGGTAGGAGGGTGGCCCTTCCCATCACCATTTCCTGAGGGAGCCTCCTGAATATTCCTTATTCAGCATGAGCTCAGGGCTAAGGTGGCCCCTTAGTCAGGGATGGGACCACCCACTGCAATCCCATTTGTGACCAAACCTCTGACTAAGGCAGCCTAGCATTCTCCTGCCTCTCCTGCCAGGGCCTTCCCCTTGCCCAGGGGCCTGTGGTGGGTTCTAGAGGCAGTGTAGCCTGATGGAAAACACATGGGCTCTGCAGTCAGATGGTCCTGGTTCCAGTCTCATCTTGAGTGCTTACTGGCTGTGTGACCTTGGACAAGTCACTTCACCTCCTCTGTGCCTCAACATCCTCATCTGGAAAAGGAGACGTTTACATCCAACCCTGTAGGATTCCTGGGGGACTGAAAGGACAGGGACATGTGTTAAGTGTCTGGCACACGGTATGGGCTTAGCAGGCGCATTTCCTTCTTTCGCATCAGTCCTAAAGGGCCTTTCCTGCATGCAGAGGGCCCTCCCAGACATGGCAGAAGGGAAGTAAATGATCGCTACCTGCCACCCTGGCCTTACTTTTCAAGCTCTTGGGCACTGGTGCCCCAGCCCTGTCCATGCTGCCCTTGACCATTTACTACCCCCTCTCCCACTCCCAGGAGGTCCACAGGCGAGAACTGCACATCTCACTACTCCTCTGCTCAGAAGCCTACAGTGGCTCACAAGTCCTTCCAGGAAAAAGCCGGAGTCCTCATAATGGCCTCAGGCCCTACTGCAGGATCTAACCTTGCCTGGGTCATGGACCCACTCATCATTCGGGGGAAGCCTATGGACTTTTCTCAGAATAGTACTGTTAATTGAATAACATCAAATACATAGGAGTATTAGATTAGAAAGAAAACCAATCATACTGAAGTAAAGCTATTGACATATTTTCAAAACAAATTTGTTACATAATAATATGTGTTTCTGCATTAACCCATAGTATCACATGACCTAGTGGCAGGACTAATAACTACTGTAATGTTGAAGTCGTGACGGATGTAATTGCAGCTACTGTGAAGTGATGAAAATATCTGATTCCTAGTGGTGACAATATTACAGGCACTGCTAACACCACCATGCTTTGTTGCCTACACTCATAATTGAAGAGAATGCTAAGTGTCAGCTTGACATGACTGAAAATAAACCTGTAATTTTCCCATCCTAGTTTGAGGACTCCCTGAATTTATTCATAGACCCCTGGGTCTAGGAGTCTCAATTAAATGTCCCTGTGCATGACCCTTTCTGACCTCCTCTCCTTTTGTCACCTCCATCCATCCTGCTCCAGCAGGATGGCCACCTCACCATTTTTCAAACATGTCAGACACGCTCCCACCTCAGGGCCTTTGCACTGGCTGTCCCCTCTGCCTGGATCCCTGTGTGGACTACTCTCTCTTTGTTCTTTGCTCAAATGTCACCTTCTCAGAGAGGCCTGTCCTGATGGGTCGCCCTACTTAAAATTGCCACTTGCCTCCCTGATTCCCTGGCACCCCCAATTTCCCTTACCTTGCTCTATATTTTCTTTTTTCCGATGAGCTCACTGTCTTTTGACACACCGTCTCATTTTAACTGCTTCTCATCTGTCTGCCTCCACCAGAATGTCAGCTCCCTGAGGGCAGGGATCTTTGTTTTGCTCACGGCTGAGTCTTGAGCACTTAGAACAAGACCTGGCACAGAGTAGGCACTCAATAAATAAGTGTTGAAAAGTGGCGCACTTGTAAGCCATAAGATGTTACATAAAAAAGGCATTTGATTCTGTAGGCCTAAAACTGGTGTAAGAAATAAAGCTTATTAATTTTTTTAAAGTATTTGTGATAAATAAACTACGACTCCGAGACTCTAAGTGTCTTTTACAAAGTCACACGGCAACTAAGTGGCTGGGCAGAGACGCCAGCCCAGCCCATCACAGTTTTCTCATAAACAAGGGCCCGGGTGAGGGGGGACAGTACCTAGCCATGACAGTGAAGCCCCAGTGGGTGACTTTCAGGCACCCGCAGGGGGGATAGTTTGCCCAGAGTTGGCTGATGTCTGGTCACACTGAGTGGTGACCACCTAAGTCTGGCGCAGTTCCAGGAGGTAAAGAAGGCAGATGGCCTTGGTGGCCGCGCGCCCTCCCCCTGGGCCTGGCTTCCTCCCCCGCCCCCTCCCCTGCAGGATGGCACATGGCTCTGGCCTTCAGCTCAGCTAAAGGAGAAAGTCTCCTTGGCTGCTTGCTGGTGTGATCCTGAGGCAGCCCCAAGCAGGACTGTTGTTCCTCTAAAGACAGTCCCCTCCCCAGGCAGGAGCCCCACCGGGCACCCCCACTGGAGTTCAAGGGCAGTGCCCAGGGAGTGGTCCAAGATGGAAGGCCAAACGTCTGGACCCGCCAACGGCAAAGGCCTGATTTAGTTTCTGTTTCCGTCCGTTCAGAGATCCCAGCTTGACCCAGACGCTGGGTGGTTGGGCAGAACCTGCCAGGAGGATGCCAGGGCAGACAGGAAGGGAATGGGAACTGCCACCTAGGTATGTACAGGGGTCATCGATGCTTAACAGGAATAGACCTTTGCCTCTCTCTGGGGTGCCCTCTCTTTCTCCTGGGCTGGAGCTAGAAGTAGGGGGGAGCATGTAGGAGTGGAGCTTGCCATCCTTTTGCTGGGGGACCTTAGACAAGTCTAGCCTACTTTCTGAGCCTCAGTCCACAGGCAGGGGATAGTTGGGCTAGGTGATCATTAACCACCTGCCAGCTCAGAACTGTCAGGAGGCTCTCTGTTCGCATCTACCAGGTCATATGTTTGTCTGGGACCCCCTGGAGATTAGGGAAAGACTCAGGAGGGGCCAGGCCCAGGACTCCTTGGAAGGAGCCCCCAGGGCAGAGAACACTGGTCTGAGAGTCAGGAACCATTGCTTCTTTTAGATCTACTGCTAAATTGGCTGTGTGGCTCTGGGTCAGTTAGTCGCCCTCTCTGGACTTTCGTTTTCTCATCAGCAAAAACAGGAGATAGTCTCTGCTCTGCCCTCCTCTGGAAGGCTATTGTGAGCATCCAACCACCAGATGGGAAGGTGTCTGGGGACAATAAAGGGCTAGGCTGATGTTGGCAAATTATTTTTCACTTCACTTTGTTTCTCAAATAATTTGAGAAATTTTGCTACTGATCATGGTGATGATAAGAATTTCTGCAAATTTCATGGCCAGATTCACGTTTGGAGGCCAGGCTGAGAGTCCAATCCTGATAATGAGAATTATGAATAAGCACTAGCTATATACCAGACACTGTGTTGGTGCTACTATTAATACTTCAATTCTGCAAATAAAAAAACGATGAAGGCCAGAAAGTGTAACGAATCCGCCCAAACTCACACAGAAGAGCCAGAAATCCTATCCCAGGTACGTCCAGCAGTGACACCCAGCCCCGTAACCACCAGGCAGCTCTGCCCCTTGTCCCCAGGGCAGAGCTGTGTTCCTCCCACCACCAGACCCCGGGGATGTATCCCCCATCCCGTACCCCAGGGGCCCAGGAGTGGGCTGGAAGCAACACGGTCCCCTCCAGTGTGGGACCTCGGACCTCCCTCCCCGCACGCCCCGCCCCCCCTGGGCCGAGTGTCCCTGTGTGTCCGCCCGCCTTCCCCGCTCTGACCCTGGCGCCTGCAGGTGCGGCTGGTGATCGCCGAGAAGGGCCTGGCGTGTGAGGAGCGGGACGTGAGCCTGCCGCAGAGCGAGCACAAGGAGCCCTGGTTCATGCGGCTCAACCTGGGCGAGGAGGTGCCCGTCATCATCCACCGCGACAACATCATCAGCGACTACGACCAGATCATCGACTACGTGGAGCGCACGTTCACGGGAGGTACGGCGGCCGCGCGGGCCCTGAAAGCGCCCCAGCACCTTGGGAAGCCTGGGCAAACCCCGCGGGCCCGGGCTCCCCCACAAGGAACCACGGGCTACAGGCAGGGCTCAGATGCCGCCCAGGAACCGCAGAGCATGGCCACAGGTCCCTGGGGACCCCACAGATCTGACCCCCCCCCTCCCCGGTACTGAGGGAAAGGGCGTGGCCCAGACACCCCCCTTGGAGCGGCTGGGGCTATAGCCTCCTTGCCAGGGGACTCTGGAGTCACAGGCTCGGCCACAGACACTCTGGAGCCCATCAGGCGTGAACGGGACCCAGACCCCCTTCTAAGTCCCCACAGACAGGATCCAGATCTCCCGGGGATGCCAGGGCTCGGCCAGGACCCAGCCCCCTGAAACCCTGTATGCATAGTCAGGGCCACAGGCTCTTCCGGAACCCCCACAGACATGGGCCCGGATACCCGAGAACTTTGCAGACATGAGCAGGGCCCGGCACCCCAGAACCCCACAGAACCCTATGTCCTCCGTCCCTACCTCCCTCCCTCTGGCCTCGCTCAAGTCCAGAAGCTCAGTGCCCATGGCAGAGGCTGCAGATGCAGCTGAGAGATCAGGGCCCGGACATGCACTGTTTTAAAAGAATATGAATTAGTTGCCAACATTTAAAAACCAAGGAGAGTTCAATTTCAAACATCCAGGTTTCCAGCTTCTCTCCAAGTCTGGCAACACTAGGCCTAGAGACCCACCTGGCAACAAGCCCGGGCAGGTGAGGAGTTGCCCCTCAGGGGACGGCTCGGCAGGGCTCCAGTGAGGAGAGGTAGGCGGGCAGGATCACTAGGGTCCCCTGTCAGCCTGGTGGGGACTTTCTCTCAAGAGTCAAGGAAAGGGGATGGGCCCCAAACTTCTGGACATGTCGCGGTTCCGGGATGCTGAGGTTGGGGAATGGGATGCCAGAGGCTGGCCTCTCTGAATCAGGGGGGCGGGAGGCCCGACACAGGGCCCTGCGTGCCGCCGCCCAGCCCCCGGCCATGCCCCGCAGAGCACGTGGTGGCGCTGATGCCCGAGGCGGGCAGCCCCCAGCACGCGCGGGTGCTGCAGTACCGCGAGCTGCTGGACGCGCTGCCCATGGACGCCTACACGCACGGCTGCATCCTGCACCCCGAACTCACCGCCGACTCCATGATCCCCAAGTACGCCACGGCCGAGATCCGCAGTGAGTCCCGGGGTCGGGGTCGGAGCGCAGAACCCTCAGGGTAACCCGGTCTTCGCCCACCTCCTCCCTCTTCCTCCCATTCCTGTATCTCTTACTCACTTTCTTCCCTTTATCTCTCCTCTTCTGCCTTCTCTCCTCTTCCCAATGGATATCCCTCTGCCTCTGCCTCTCTCTCCATCCCTGTGTCTGTCTCTGTCTCTCACTCTGGCGCTCTCTCTCTCTCTCTCTCTGGCTCTCCGTCTCTCTCTCACCCTGTTTCAAGCTGAATATGTCTTTCTCCCTCTCTGGCAGTCTCTCTCTCTCATTCCCTTCTCCTGCCCCCTCCTCTTGTCCTGCCATCCCATACAGAGGCCATAGGGCTATCTGTCCCCCTAGAGGCTTGCCTGTCCATGGGAGCTGGGACACCTCTCCACAGGCATCTCAGCCCCAGACACCTGGGGTTGGCAGCCCAGGGTACTGAGTGACATCAGGGCTGGCATCACCAAGGAAGATTGCCCAGATATTGCAAGGCCCCGGGCCTCTGAGTTCTGATTCAAGCATCCCCATATACTGTCCTAACTGCCAGCCTGATTGTGCCCACAGTCTACTTTATCCTTTCATTTTTTTCAGTACTCAGTAAATAAGTGTTGGATTAAATCAGATTATCCATCAACAACTGTTTACAGACTTTGGTCCAGGCTCTATGCAGACACCATGGGGTCCAATATACAGATGAAGCATGATGATTCCAAGTAGATAATAGGTGCTCGGTAAATGGTCACTTCCTGTCTCTCAAAGGAATGAGGCTCACGTCCAAGGGTGGGCCAGGTTGTGGCACTCGATTTTGTCTCTTTAGAGTGCCCTTGAACAGGACTCAGGACATATTTATATTGTCCTGTCCCCATTGAGTCAACAACATTTAACAACATTTATGAAGTCTCCTACGACCCAGGCCCTGGGCAGGGGGCTGGGGACAGAAGGGGACTGTCACAGCTTCTACCCTCCCAGGGTCACAGTTTCATGGAAGCAGAAAGACAAATGACCAGATGATTACAATGCAGGACTAAGTAAATTTGAACAACCTCTCAGGAGGGCAGTCTGGCCCTCTATATCGAATATTAAAAGGCCCACACTTTGGAGACTGTCCTGCAATGACACTTGGATGTGTGCACCAAAGAAGTACGTACAAGGATATGCATTGCAGCATAAGGGGTAATAGCAAGAGGCTGGAAATAACCCAGTTGACCATGATTTGGGGACTGGGCAGATAAATTCTAGTACATACAAACAATGAGATACTGTGCAGCTGTTAAAAATAATAACAGGCATGTGGAATGCTCTCTAAGATATATTAGTAAGTAGGGAGAAAGTGAAGGGCAAAAAAATGCATCTAGTGTACTATCATTAATATATGTAAAGGGGGATCGAATGGATACACAGGTGCTTGCAAACACAAGGAGTATTTCTGGAAGGACGCATGAGAAGACTGGGAGAGCAGAACTAAGGGACTGCAGATTGAGAGGAGAGAGATTTACTTTTCACTGTACGTTCCTTAATATTGTTTGAATTTTTAAACAAGCATGCATGTATAATCTATTCAAAACTAATTGATTTGGGGACTTCCCTGGCGGTCCAGTCGTTAAGACACCGTGCTTCCATTGCAGGGGGCATGGGTTTGATCCCTGGTCAGAGAACTTAGATTCCGCATGCCACACAGTGTGGCAAAAAAACAAACAACCCACATTGATTAAAATTTTTCTAACCTAGTACCGATCAGTGTTATGATAAGGGGAACATAGAGGCAGTGGGGCCAGAGAAGATGCCCATCCCAGTCCAAGAGATGTCCAAGTGGGGCTGGGACCCAGGGGAGAGGGCAGGCCAGGTTTGGGCCCCACCACACACCTGGCCCACCATGTCCCATACTTACTGGCTAAGAGTTCCAGAGAAATCCTGCCCCAGTCATGGAACAGACCTCAGGATCTTATCCCACTTAATGCTTCCACCTCCTCTTGTAAAACCCACAGCTTACAGCTAGACTTTTAATGTCAGATTATAGGACACTTTGTCTCTCCCATTAAGTATAATTCTCAAGGTGCTGCCTTGAGTTCCATCATTGACCCACATTCCATCACCCAGGCCTTTTCAGCATCTTTAAAAGGCCAATTTCCCAGGAGAGGTGATCAATATGTCCCTGAATCTTCAGGGAAGTTGCCTCACCAGAAGTGGAAGTTTCAAGACACCAAGCTCTCTTATAGTTTTTTTAAAACAAGTTTTTCCCTGTGGATTACAGTGAGTGAGCTCTAGACTGAGAATCAGACAGATCCTGATTCAAAATCTGCTTGTCGTTTACTAGTGTGGAATTTACTAGCCTCTCTGAATCCATTTCTTCACTACAGAAAGGGTTGAGGGAGACGTTCACTGAAGCATGAGCTTGTCCACATTTAGGGTGATATTCATTTCCGGCAAACTCCTACTCATCCCCTAGAGTCTCCTCCTCAGTGAGGTTTCTTGACACCTTGTGCCCCAGGCAGGTGGCCCTCTGGGTCCCACAGCATTCTGTTCACTCTTCATTAGAGATTGATCATGCTATGTTGTAGGTATCTCTTTTATGGTCTAGGGCAGGATGGCATCTCATCCATCCCTATGTCCCAGCCTGTAATGACATAGCGTCTCCTAGTTATGCCTGTTGATATTGTTACTTCCTGGACTACTGTTTGAATGGGACCTATTCCAAGTTGTTGGGGGGAAGGGAAAGGAAGAGCACCAGGTATCAGAACGGGACCTTTCCTATTCTCTCCCCAGGACATTTAGCCAATGCAACCATGGACTTCATGAAATTGGACCATGAAGAGGAGCCCCAGCTCTCTGATCCCTACCTTTCTAAACAGAAGAAGCTCATGGTGAGTGACCCCAGGCCTGCTCATTCCCCTTTCCCGCCATCTTTTCCATGGAAAAGAAGAACTGGAAGAAGCTGGTTCTAAGTAGAGAGTCAGCTGATGACATGAAACGGGAAAACCACTGGTTTGCTTTCCCAATCCTGTCTCCTCTGTCATTTACTGGCTCTTTGACCTTGAGCAAGTCACTGTCGCCTTGGAGCCTCACTTTCCTAATGTCTTAGGTTGTGTCCCTAAGAGCAGAGCATTGAACAGAGGTTCTGGGGTAAGCAAGGTATTGAGGGAGCGCTCTAAGGAGAACCCAGTAAGGATGAGATAGGATGAAGAAGGGGCTAAGTTCACCTGATCCCACAGGGAGCTCTGGAGGATAAATGGTGCCACAAAGTCGATCCACCTTGAGACAAAGGGACAGACTTTTATACCCTTATATCAGCCAATCATTGACCTATTTATTTCCCAAGTATTTCCAGGAAACTCCTCAATGGCTGAGAACAATTCTCTGGAGAAGGGGAAGCTGTGAGCCACTGTCAACCAACTCTCATGGCAGCTGGTGTATGAGAGTACCAGCCCCATGAAAGGGATCTGGCCAGGACAGTCAAGCTCACAGGACTATTGTGAACACCAGATGAGGATGCCTTGTAACAGTGGGGGTATCCTATACACTTAAGGGGATATAAGGAGACTGGGTTTGCAGAAGGGGATTTGGGCCAAGAGTCTTCCATCCCTGGTCATCCTTGCTCTATTGAGGCCAACTCAGCTCCTCTAGCACCTGTCTGTCCTGCCCCCAGGCCAAGATCCTGGAGCACGATGATGTGAGCTACCTGAAGAAGATCCTGGGGGAGCTGGCCATGGTGCTGGACCAGATCGAGGCTGAGCTGGAGAAGAGGAAGCTTGAGAACGAGGGTGGGTGCCAGTTCTGGGGTAGGTGAGTGCTGGAGCCCATCCAGCCCACTCTGTCCATGACAGTCCCAGCATCTTTCCCCCCAAAGATCTTAGAGGACCATCCAGGTGGTTAGGATCATGGGCCATGGAGTCAGAAAGACCTAAGTTTAAGTCCTAGCTTGGCCACTTGCTAGTTGAATGACCCTGGGCCAGGTGCTTCACCTCCCTAGACCTCAGTTCCCCATCCATAAAATGGAGATAATAATAAGACCGACCTCAGAGAGATGTTGAGACACTGCATGAAATAATATATGTAGAATACTTAGATCAGCGCTTAGAACACAGTATTTAATAAAGGCTATTGAAGATGATGATGGTAATGGTGGTGGCGATCGCTATCCACTACACCATCTCCCCTTGCCCCGACTGAAGGATGTACTATGGCTCCTTCATGCTGTAGGAGCCAGACATCTAGGCTCACCCGGACTCTCTGACCTTGACTCTTTCTGTTCTCAAGTGCCTCTCTTCTCTGGACGCTGAGCATGCCAGCTACATTTCCACCACCACACCTTAGCTCCTGCAGCTCTTCCAGCCTGGAGTACCCTCTCCTTACCACTCTGCTCCTTTTTGCATCTATACACCATCCTTGCCAGCACCCTTCTTCAAATTTCATTCGAGACCTTCCCATTTTGCTCTATTTTAGGTACCCTGTTAGTCTGGTCTCCTCAACAATGCAAATTTGTGGAACCCATTCAACATGCACTGCTACACTCATAGCTTCACACACACGCAGAGATGTCTGTGTATGTGGGAAGGCTGTGGAGCACAGTGTTCTAAAATATGGGTTTAGAGTGAGACAGATATGAGTTAGGGTCCTAGCTTTGCTGCCTATACCGTGTGACTTGGGCAAGTTCCTTTCCTTATTGGAGCCTCAGTTTCAACATCTGTGAAACAGGATGGTAATAGTAGAATTTAAAACCTAAACTCCATCTTGTTGAACTCTTTAAAAAATGAAAAACACTCAGCACAGCGCCTGGAACATACTAGTTAATTACATATGACAGGTAAAGGCACGTGCATTCTCCAGGTGAGAAAACTAAGGCTCAGAGAGATAAAGTGACTCGCTCAAGGTCACACAGCTCTTAAATGGCATAGTTAGGGTAAGAACAGGTTCCCTCTCAATGGGTCCAATGTTCTTCCAGCATTTCACAGCTGAGGCCTCAAGCAAATGGCACACACAGATACCTAAGGTCCTAAACAGGAACAGTGTCATGCATGCTGAAGCCAGCCGCCATAAATCCTTTCTAGAAAAAGGCAGAGTACGGCTAAATGAGTAAAAACAATGCATACCTCAAGAAGGAACTTTCTCATTTCTATCAGAGAGGGTGCTGGAGAGGGGCCATTACAGAAGAGTGTTCAGGGGCCAATGGAAGTAGCTGGACCACATGTTGCCCATCATCCAGCAGGTTAAGCCAGGCTCTTCATATGATGGTGGTCACAGGGATACTGAGAGCAGCAGGAGAGCAAAGCCCCAAGGTGCAAATATGTTTTAAGCCTCTACTTGTGTCACATTTACGAAAGCCCCATTGGCTAAAGCAAGTGACATGGCAGAGCCAGGATTAAAAGGGTAGAGGGTTGGACTCTGCCTCTTGATGGCAGAAGCAGCACAGCCTTTGCAAAGGGGCAAGCGTGCAGGAATGGGAGGAATTTGCAGCCATGTTTGCAATCTACTCAGGGGTGAGGTGTTCTGATTTTACAAAAGTACTCTGGTTGCTGTGAAAATGGATTTCAAGGGAGACAGAAGCCCAGATGAGATGGTGGTGGCTTGGACTGAGGTGGTGGCAGTGGAGCTGGGGAGGCACGAAAGGCTTGAGAGGTATTTTGGAGATAAAATGGGCAGGAACTTGCTGAGAGGTCGAGGGTATTGGAGGGAGTGGAGTAAGAGGGGATAAAGGAATCAAAGATGACTCATGAGGTTTGGGTCTGAGCTACTGAGTGGTACCATTTCCTGATATGGGCAAGGGGGACCCAAGAGTTCAGGTGTTTTTAGATTCCGCACGTAAGTGTCACCCCCAAGAGGAGATGTCACATAAGCCATTAGGTATTCTAGTCTGACTTTCAAAGGAGAGGTCAGAATTTGGAGGTGGACATTTGCAAGTCTTCAGCATATACACGGTGATTAAAGCCGTAGAATTGGATGATGTCGCCTAGAGGGCAGTGGAGAGAGACAAAGAGGAATCAAGACCTGCTTATTCGTTATTTATTGCTTATAACAAACTGCTCCCAAACTCAGCGGCTTAAACAAACAAAAAAAAACAATTGTCGGGCTTCCCTGGTGGCGCAGTGGTTAAGAATCCACCTGCCAGTGCAGGGGACATGGGTTCGAGCCCTGCTCCGGGAAGATCCCACATGCTGCAGAGCAACTAAGCCTGTGAGCCATGACTACTGAGCCTGCGCTCTAGAGCCTGCGAGCCACAACTACTGAAGCCCGTGAGCCTGGAGCCCATGCTCCACAAAAAGAGAAGCCACCGCAATGAGAAGCCCGTGCACTGCAACGAAGAGTAGCCCCCACTCGCCGCAACTAGAGAAAGCCCGTGTGCAGCAAAAAAGACCCAACACAGCCAAAAATAAATAAATAAATAAATAAAAACAGGCAGCAGGCTAGATTTGAGCTGAGGGCCATAGTTTTAAAAAAAGGGGGGAAAAAAGCATTTGTCATATCACACATTTTCTGTGAATCAGAAATTCTGGAGCAGCTCGGCTGAGTGTTTCTAATTCAGGGCTGCATGATGCAGGGATAGATGCATGATGCATCCATCCCTCCCCGCAACTCTTCCCCCGTCTCTAAGTCAAGCCGCTGGCTGGGGCTGCAACACCCTGAGCTGAAGGGTCCACCACGTGGGTCTTCACTAGAGGTGTCAGTTCCCCACAGCTGTTGGCCGGAGACCTCAGCTTCTCACTACATGGGCATCTTATTAGGGCTGCTTGAGTTTCTTCACAACACGGCAGCCGGCTTTCCCCTGAGCAAGTGATCCCAGAGAGACAGAAGCAGCGGAAGCCACATGATCTTTTTCTGCCACTTCTGCCACATTCTATTCATCTGAAGCAAGGCATTAAATACGGCCCATATTCAAGGGGAGAAAAATTGGGCTCCACCAAAGAGATAAGTATCAAGTAATCTGTGAGCGTATTTTTTTCTTTTTTTTAAATTGAAGTATAGTTGATTTACAACTTTATATTTATTTATTTATGGCTGCGCTGCACGGCTTGCGGGATCTTATCTCCCCCACCAGAGGCTGAACCGGGCCCTGGGCAGTGAAAGTGTGGAGTCCTAACCACTGGACTGCCAGGCAATTCCCTACAACATTATATTAGTTTCGAGTGTACAGCGTAGTAATTCAGTATTTTTACAGATTGTACTCCATCAAAAGTCATTACAAGATAATGGCCATAATTCCCTGTGCTATACAGTGTATCCTTGTTGCTTATCTATGTTACACATAGTAGTTTGTATTTCTTAATCCCATACCCCTAATTTGCCCCTCCCCCCTCCTTCTCCCCTTTGGTAACCACTAGTTTATTTTCTCTCCCTCTCTCTCTCTCTCTTTTTTTTATGGAAAGGCATTTTATTTTAAATATAGCAGTGTATACATATCAATCTCAAACACCCAATCTATCCCTCCGCGCAACGCTTCCCCCGTCTCTAAGTCTGTGAGTCTGTTTCTGTTTTGTAAATAAGTTCATTTGTATCATTTTTTTTTTAGATTCCGCATATAAGCGATATCATATGATATTTGTCTTTCTCTCTCTGACTCACTTCACTTAGTATGATAATCTCCAGGTCCATCCATGTTGCTGCAAATAGCATTATTTCATTCTTTTTAGTGGCTGAGTAATATTCACTAGTTTATTTTCTATATCTGTGACTCTGTTTCTGTTTTGCATATACATGTGTTTATATTATTTTTTAGATTCCACAGAGAAAGACAAGCACTGTTTCGTATTTTAAAACTACCACATCTGCCCTGAGGCTCCCCCTCATTGAGAGAAGGGTAAAGACAGACGAGCTGGCAAAGCTGATGAGACACGGTGGCCAGTGAGGCGTGAGGACTCTTGTGTCATAGAACCCAGAAAGGATTGTGTTTTAAGGAGGGAGAACAGTGTCAAATGCAGCTGAGAGGCTGAATAAACCAAGGATAGGAAAGCGTCCCTTGGGTTTTGTCCCATGGCTGTTGGTGGCGACCTTGCCAGGAGCAGTTTCACTGGAATGTCAGGGCAATGGCTGAAGAGTGAATGGGAGGTGAGGCGTGAAGATGGCTAGTGTAGACAACCCTTTTGAGAAGTTTCGCTGTAGAGGGAATAGAGAAATGGGGTGGTGCCTGAAGAAGGCTGTGGGGCAAAGGGAGGAATGTTTTCAAGATAGGAGATACAACTGCGTGTTTTCAGGCCGATAGAAATGCCTCAGTGGAAAGGAGAAATCAGTGATGCAGGACCAATGAGGATTGAGAGGGTGTGCTTCAGGCAGGGTCCCCAGGGGACACACAGGGCACCCTCAAATTGAGTAAATCAAAGAGGCCTTCATAAAGGGACTGTTTACAGATGTGTGGGCGGGACACAGGGAAACCACAAGGAAAAGTGCGGTACCTGGACCTCGGGTTGTGAGCGATGGGGGCAGTTTCAGGAACCAGAACAAAGAGGGCCACCTGACAGGAGCTGTGACTTTCTGGGTTCGATCCCTGGTCGGGGAACTAAGATCCTGCCTGCTGCCTGGTGTGGCCAAAAACAAGCAAATAAGCAAACCAACACCGCCAGCCTGTGGCAGCCCGCAGAGAAAACCTGGGGGAAGTAAGACCCTGACCCACCCTCGCCCACCATCCCATCTCCCACCTCTGCCCCCACTGGCCAAACACCCCTGGAGCCAGAGGGCACGGAGTCCCATCAGTGTATCCGTCCAGTTGGCCTCCTGGGGGCCGCAGAGCAGTGTGGGGAGGGGAGGAGAGTGGCTCTAGAAAGGGAAAGGGAGCATGTGCAGCGTTGGGTGGGTGCAGAGGACCACGGAGGGCCTGACCTTGAGCGAAGGTGGCTCACACCCTCCCTTGTGTCAGCAGGTGGTAAATGCAGGGGCCTGGCATTGTGGGTTTCATGGTGGGGGGTAAGGGCTTTCATGTCTGAAGGTTCCTGTTTTCTGAATGAAGCATGAGGTGACGTCATCAACAGAGAAAACCACCGGGTGTGAGGAGAGAAGATGAAAGATGTGCGTCTCTCTGCAGGGGGCGGTGAAGCGAGCATCCCCCAGAGCTGCTACAGGACTGCTACAGGACCTGGGCAGGGCTGCCGGCCCTCCCGGGCTTTGTGGTCAGGATTTAAAGTGTAACTGGTAAGGGTACCTGTCTCCAGCACACTCAGCTGGCAGACTTGGAGAAGGCACAAGACAGGGTTCATCCAGGGCTGCGACTTGGCAAAGGGAACCCACAGCTGCAGGAGCGGGGGAAACCGAAGACCTTCTGTTGACATGCCAGATAGATAGCTACCCGCGCCCGTGGACATTACGCAGTCATGGCTAGCAGTATTTGCCTACAAACAGAAACACAGGAATGGACATACTTAAATAGCGATGCACGCTTACACACTCATGAACATCTGTCTGCAGGCAACCACCAAGTGCATGTGGGCATACCCTTCACTTATGCATGTGGTAATCCCCCCACTGCATGGACACAGATGCCCATGTGTGTAGCTGTCTACATGCTAATACACAACCAGCTTCATGGATTTGAGCAGGCATTCACATGGGTAAACATACACACCATGCAGGATGCAGACACATAGGTCCACACACAGACCCAAATAAAAATGTACCCATTGAAAGAGGCCTACGTGTCAGTGGAGATACATACATATGTATGATGAAGTACTCTCTCAGGTAGATGTCTTACATTTGACAGCAGCTTAGATTTGTTGAGAGACGGTGCCCTGTACTCCCTCTTGTTACCAAGGATAAACTGTTCTTGAACTAGCTAAACCTAGTCCCTTCCCTTGTGTACTTGATGCCATCCACGCTCATCCCTTCAAGGACACCACATCAGTGATTCTCTCCACTCTGTCCTGTAGCATCACCTCCTCTCGGCTCGATCATTCCCATCAACGTGCTGTTTTTTTCTTCCCAACTTACAAAGGCACTCTTTTTAAAAAATAATTAATTTATTTATCTTTTCATTTTTGGCTGTGTTGGGTCTTCGTTGCTGCGCACGGGCTTTCTCTAGTTGTGGCAAGCGGGGGCTACTCTTCGTTGCGGTGCGCGGGCTTCTCATTGCGGTGGCTTCTCTTGTTGCAGAGCACGGGCTCTAGGCGCGCGGGCTCAGTAGTTGTGGCTCCTGGGCTCTAGAGCACAGTCTCAGTAGTTGTGGTGCACGGGCTTAGCTGCTCCACAGCATGTGGGATCTTCCTGGACCAGGGCTTGAACTCGTGTCCCCTGCATTGGCAGGCAGATTCTTAACCACTGCACCACCAGGGAAGTCCCCCAAAACACTCTTGACCCGTCTCACATTATCGGCATATCCTTCCCATGAGCAAAGCTCCTTGAAAGGGTGACCTTTGCTCACCGTCTCTGATTCCTCTCCTCCCTTTCTTTCTTGGACTCCCTCCCAACCAGGCTTTCAGCGTCAGCATCTACTCCCACTCTTCTTGTCAAGGTCACCAGTCGCCAAATGCAATCGCCAATTCTCAGCTCCTTTTCTGTGACTTCCCGGCAGCGTCTGAAGCCAGCTGAGCGCTCTGTCCTTGGAACACTTTCTTATCTTGGCTTCTGGGACACCACACTCACCTGGGTCGTCTCCCACCTCACCAGCTACTCCTTCGCACACTCCTTCGCTGGTTGCTTCTTGTTGCCCAATATCTAAATCTTGAGGCCCCGAAGCTCAGTCCTTGGTTCTGTTCTCAGCTCTGTCTCCACTCACGCCCTTGATGATGCTGTGCACCTGTACCTCTAACTGCAGACACATCATCTCCCCTCAGAAGTCTAACAGGCATCTGGAAGATTCCATATTCAAGAACAAACTTCTGATCAGAGCCTTCATTACACTTTAGCTCCTCCTCCCCTGAGACCGTGAGCCTCTGGAGGGAAGACATTTGTGTCTTGTCATGTCTTCATGCCCAGCACATACTACCAGATAAACATTTGTTGGATGAATGAATGAACATGAGGACACAGAGTGAAAGGGGGAGGCTCAGGCTGTGAGGGTGAAGGGTATTAGACTCATGGAATTTCTGAGCTGAAAGGAACACCTCTACAAAAGGGCAGAAGCAAGCTTCCCAAGAAAGCAGACCTCACCGGAAGTGGAGAGCAAGGGGAGAGCATTGCAGGCATGGGGTGCAGCAGGGGCAACGGCCCAGAGGCCAAAATGGGCGTGGCTTGCTCGAGGGGAACAGTGGGCAAGTGGGCAATTTGTGAGAAGTGAAGATCAGAGAAGTACTGGGTTGGCCAAAAAGTTCATTTGGGTTTTTCGTAAGATGTCCTAGAAAAAAGCAAACGAACTTTTTGGCCAACCCAATACATTGGAGCTCATCCAACTACTGAAAGGGCTTAAAAGCCACGCAGAGGAATCTGGACATTAATGTGTAGTCACTGGGGAGAATTTCAGGTTGTTGAGCAAAGCAGGGATGAAGGAGACCAAAGGGGCTCCAGAATTTCAAGTCTAGTGTTTCCTAAGTACACAGGCTAATTTTAGATGTCCCGTGACCATGGCGATAACTAACATAAAACCACACGATGAGAATTATTCTCTTTTTAATTCTTTTGATTGTATTAAAGAGTGTTAGTATGATGCTAGTATTTAATTCCCATAAAGGGGTTATGTATTACTACCTGCCCTTTTCTTCAAACAAATAAATAAGTCTTGGGCTCGGGGATTTTGGGCAGGCAGTAGTATCCAGATGGAATTTAATAGCGTTTGTTTTGTCTTTTGTTAAATGTACTTTTATCATTGCACATAGGTTATGGCAAATGATACTCTTAGTGATAGTTTCTTTTCTCATTCATCACTCATTAAGTAAAGATTTAGTGAGCCAGGCACTGTTCTAGGTGCAGGGGATACAGCTGTGAACAAGACAGACCCAAATTCCTGCCCTCATGGAGCTTCCATTCTGGTAGAGGGTGGCAGCCAATAAACAAAATGAGCATGTACAGTATATGGTGGAACACTGGGGAAAAGTTGTATGGAAGAAAACAGAGCAGGGGAGGAGGACAGTGACTGCTGGGATTGGGGTTTCAATTTTAACTGGGTGGTCAGTGAAGCCCCCCGAGAAGATGGCACTGAGCCAAGACCTGAAAGAGGTGGAGGAGTAAGGCCTGTAGCTCTGTGGGGGAAGAGTGTTCCAGGCAGAGCAAACAGCAAGTGCAAAGGCCCTGGGGTGGGAACGTGCCTGGAATGAGGAACTGCAAGGAGGCCAGTGTGGTTGAAGAAGGGTGAGTCAAGGCGGGGGACTTCCCTGGCGGTCCAGTGGTTAGGACTCAGCGCTTTCACTGCTGTGGCCCTGGGTTCAATCCCTGGTTGGGGAACTAAGATCCCGCAAGACATGGAGCACAGCCGAAAAAAAAAAAAGAGTGAGTCAAGGGGGAAAAAGTAGACTCCTAGGTCTGAAAGGTACCTGGGGGCCAGATCACGTAGGACCTTTAGACCATTAGAAGGGCTTCAGCTTTGACTACGACAGGGGGTCACTAAAGGGCTTTGATCAGAGAGAAGGACATGACCTGACTTAAGAATTAACAGGATTCCTCTCTCTGCTGTGCTGAGAATAGACTCTAGGGAGTCAAAGGCAAACGATAATGGTCGTTAGGACCAGGATGGTCACATCGGAGGTAACATCTAACTTCGGATGTATTTTGAAAATAAAGCTGATGGGAACTGCTGACAAAGTGTATGTGGGGTGTGAAAGAAAGAGAAGAAAGAATTCAACATGGCCTGCGTGGCTTTTGGCCTGAGTGGCTGGAAGGATGGAGGTGCTGTTACTGACATGGGGATGAATGTGGTGGGTTTGGGGGTGACGATCAGTTTTGGACATGTCGCGTTTAAGATGCACGGTGGACTCGCAAGGAGAGCTGGAAAATGGGCAGTGGGATATATGAGTCCGGAGTTTAAATACATATATTTGCATTTAATAAGTCAGTTGATTTAAAGAAAACAAATAATAGAGGTAGTATATGCATCTGGCAAAAATCATGAAAGAAGTGCAGGAGTGGGTGACCTTGGGGGAACACTATGGCAGGCAGACAGAAGCCAGAGGCGTCACTGAGAGAGGAGGGCGTGTATGGCGGAAGAAGAGCTGACCCTCCCCTCCCCCATCTCCTGTCACTTCCATTCTAGGGCAGAAATGTGAGCTGTGGCTCTGCGGCTGTGCTTTCACCCTTGCTGATGTCCTCCTGGGAGCCACCCTGCACCGCCTCAAATTCCTGGGACTGTCCAAGAAATACTGGGAAGATGGCAGCCGGCCCAACCTGCAGTCCTTCTTTGAGAGGGTCCAGAAACGCTTTGCCTTCCGGAAAGTTCTGGGCGACATCCACACCACTCTGCTGTCAGCAGTCATCCCCAACGCGTTCCGGCTGGTCAAGCGGAAACCCCCATCTTTCTTTGGGGCATCCTTCCTCATGGGCTCCCTGGGCGGGATGGGCTACTTTGCCTACTGGTACCTCAAGAAAAAATACATCTAAAGCCAGGCCCCGGGCTTGGTGTCTGACTGTTGGTGTCTCTGTCCTGTGTGATTCCCAGTGAGCTCTCAGTAACGCACCGTCTCATGCACACTTGGACAGCCCCTCCCACCCCTTGTTTGGAGCAATTCTATCGTCAGTCTGAAAACATTCCATAGTTTAGGAGTAGATGTTGCCACTGCCGTGAGTTGAGGCCACGGTTCTACTGAAGGAGAGAAAGAGTGAGTGGGAGAGAGAGAGAAAGAGAGAGAAACAAACAAAAACACGAATGCCTTTTTTTTTTCGATTCAAGGTCTCAAGATGGAACTGTGGGGACTGGTTAGGATCCAAGGTGAGTCCCAGGTCATTTCATTCACCAGGGCCCAGATTCTGGGAGGTGCTGGGGGCTCGGAGGGCCTGACCCCCGCCTCCCCTTCCCTCTTGCCCAGGGAACTCTTCCACAGGACAAAGCCAACATCAAGACTTGACTCTTCTAAGCGCTACCTCCAGGTGGGGCTGGAGACCTGGAGACCCCACAGGAGGCCCCTGAAGACTGGAAGGGGCTTCATTCTCCTCCTGGAAGTGAACTGAGACAGCACTGGCTGGGCCAAGGCAGTGACTTCCAGCCACAGGCCATGTCTGGGGCCGACGCCATGAGCACACCCTCCCATCCCCCTCTTGATTTGGCCAGTGTGCTCGGTCGGGCACTTTACTGGAAGTCCCTGAAGGCAGTGTCCATCCTCCTCTTCCCACCCGGAGCTGAGTTTTCCCACCATGTGAGGTGGACTTTCAGGAAAAGGCACATTGATCTTCTCTCGGAAGTTCAGCCCTGGCCGGAGCGCAGGGGTGGGTCTGGAGGTGGATGTCCCTCCTCCAGCCTCTGCCAAAGCCATCTCTGTTAACGTCTGCCTTCCCCTTCACTCTCGGGGCTCCCCCCACGCCCTACCATGCCATGCAGGGGGGTTTCTGCGTCCACGCTGCCCGTCCTTGCGGCGTCTCACTTCCCTGTGCCTTTTGCATGTTGGGAGAGGGTCTGGGTGTCACTGCTGCTCATGCTTAGAAAACACTGAAAGCCCCCAATAAAAAGCATCAAGGAGGAGCAGCTGCTTTTCATTTCTAAACCTGTGCTGTCCATCTAGTTCTCGTTTCCAGAGTTTGGGGCCAGAGGGGTGGAGGTACGACGTTGCGACTCAGTGAGTCTGACTCTCGTGACTCTCACCAATGTTTTGACCATTTCACTTCTGGTGAGAAGGAAGAGATGACTGATGGCTGCTTGGGGGGCCCAAGGCTGGATCTGGGGAGGCCAGGTCTTTTGTTTGTTTTTTGGCTGCACCGCATGGCTTGAGGAATCTTAGTTCCCCAACCAGGGATCAAACCCAGGCCCAAGGCAATGAAGCTCTGAGTCCTAACCACTGGACTGCCAGGGAATTCCCAGGTTTTATCCAATAGGAAAGGATAGACAGGATGTTAGAGCACATGTCCAGTACTTTAAGGCCCAGCTGTTGAAGAGGGTCATGCGACTTCCACACACGGTCCATGGGTGAGAATTTAATTACCAGGCTTCACCCAGCTGCAAAGGAGGCTGGGAAATGTAGTCTGTGATTGGGCAGCCTATTGCTAAGGAAGGAGAGAACAGATCCTGGTGGACAGCCAGCAGCCTCTGACATAAGGAAGCACTGAATGGGAAGAGGCCCAGGCAGACTGCTGGAGAGAACCATAGACTCAAAGACTCCACAGGCCCCACCTGCCAGTTCCACACGTGCAGAAACTGAGGCCTGGGATGGGCATGTGTCTGGTTTGGTCAGGATCGCACAACAAGTGAGCTAGAGCTAAGTGTCCTTTCCCTGGTCCCTTTCTGTCTCGGAATGTCATGGAGAGCAGCTCGGGTGTGGAAAAGAGTCAACATGCGTACGTTTACTCAGAATCCATCAGCTGCTGAGCCTTCTACCAGGTGCCATGGAGGGTTGCAGAGATGGACAGGGTGTGGGGCTGAGTTCAGTCTAGTTGGGAAGACAGACATCACCACCGCCAGGACTGCGGTAATGGGCGCCCCCAGTGTTTACAATGCTGAGAAGGTCTATCCAACATTCACAGAAGGATGCCTGTTGGGGAGGACGGTAAGGGCTGCTGAAGGTCATATCTCCTTCAGCTCATTGGCTGCTCACTGCCAAAGTCACAGAATCATCTGCCCGGGCCATTCCAACGTTATCTCCAAAGACCTGTTTGGTCCTTCCCTAGCAACCCGGGCCCACATTGCCTAAAACCCTTAGTTTTCTCATCTCTAAATGGAGCTAATAATAATAATAGCTGCCATCCTTTGAGTACTAACCAGGTACTAGGAAATTCACATAAATTATGTCTAAGTCTGCAAAGCATAGCTTTTTATGTCTCACTGATGAGGAAACAGAGGCTCAGAGAGTGAGCACCCAAGGTACAAGTGGTAGATTGGATTTTTGGATTCCCTAATAGGGTTATACATCCACAACCCTTGCCATGTGACTTTGCAGCACCTCCCACCGTGGGTGGAGTTTATTCCCTGCCCCATCAGGGTACTGTCCATGTGACCATCTTGGGCCAGTGGACTGTTAGTGGAAGGATGTGATGGGAGTAGAGGCTTTAAACGTACCATGTGGGTGCCTCAGTGTTCATCACGAGAAGAGCAGGCCCCAGGTAGTTGCTGCCCTTTTCATCTGGACCTTAGACTGAAAGCAGAACAGACTTGAGCCCAGCTTGTGGCCTCGAACCAAGGCCAGCTGGTCCACTGCCTGAAGCAGAGCTCACCAGCTGAGGCCAGCCCATATCTGCAGAGCTGCAGCCCTTAGCTTACCTGCAAGTGGACAGCACCTCAAACACCTACTTTACCTTGGCGCAAAGGACCCCACAGGTACACGGATGTCCTTTCCCCTCAGCTCTCCTGGAAAACACTTCTCTCACTCTCCCCCACCTCCTAGTTAGCCCTGAAACCAGACTATAGTCTCGGAGACTCCATTCATTCTAGAGGTCCTGGGACATGGCCTTCCACATTCGACTGCATGTTTTAACTATCTCTGAGTCAATCAAAATTAAAACACTGACATGTATGGGGCTTCTTTTTCCTGAATTTTTTTTTTTTTTTTGCCACACCATGTAGCACGCGGGATCTTAGTTCCCCAACCAGGGATTGAACCCGTGCCCCCTGCAGTGGAAGCACGGAGTCTTAGCCACTGGACCGCCAGGGAAGTCCCTCTTTTTCCTGCTTTTAAAGTAGTTATAGTATTGATGGCACATTAGGGACTTATTGTGCACTTGAAAGACTTTTATATAGTGCCTCCCATAGACTAGGTCCTGTCCTAAGTAAGCCCTTTACAAGTATCAATTCATTTAATCCTCACAACAACTCTACAAGGTAGGTACTTCTATTATCCCCATTTTACAGATGAAGAAACTGAGGAACTTGTTCAAGGTCAGCCAGTGTGGAGGCAGAGGCAGAATAATCTCCTCCGTCCTTTGCTTTTCTGAGTGTGTTATGTAAATCATCTCTGCCTGAGCTGGGACAATGTTGGGGTAGCGTAGGGGAACACTCTGCTTTTGACGCTTAGCACCCTGTTTGGATGTGCTCATTTCATTGCCTGTGCCTGGCTAGACTGAGGGCAGAACCGTGTCTCTGAATTAACACCGTGTCCAGCATAGTGCCCCTCACCTAGCGGGGCAATGGATGTTGAGTGAGGTGAGGCATTATCCCCACCTTACCCTTCACAAAGAGGCTCAGAGATTCTGACCTGACCGAGGGCACACAGCTGTAAGTTCTAGTCAGCACGAACGCAGAGTCTTTCTGCCACCAGATTCCATGCTAAATATAACACCATTTATTCTTTGTAGTGACTGCATTATATTCCTGATGTGGTTACCATAATTATTTAACCAATTGGCAACAGTTAGATAAATTTTGACAACTTTGCACTATCACAAATAGCTGCAATGAAATCTTTGTGTTTATCTTTGCCCACCTCTATGAACATTCCCATAGCCTAAGTCCCTAGACTGAGATTGTTAGGTCTGCACATTTTTTTGGTTTGTTTTTGTTTTTGGCTGGGCCACACGGCTTGTGGGATCTCAGTTCCCTGACCAGGGACTAAACCCGGGCCAGGGAAGTGAAAGCCTGTAATCCTAACCACAGGCCACCAGGGAGCTCCCGGGTCTGCACATTTTAAGTCTGGATACGACAAGGTTACCATCTAATCACGTGGGCCCAATTTACCATCTCCCCTCTCCCTAAGGTATGGGAGGACCTGTTTTCTACGCTGTGTGTGTTCAATTTTAAAACACCCCAGAGACTGTATTAGGGATTTCTGGGACAATTTCTGAAGGTGACTATACTGCACGGAGTTTCCCTTAACAGAATCTACCCTCTCCTTGATATCGAAATTGGAGACCTTTTTAAAAAGCCTTCTGCGGTTCATCCCTCTGGGAGCTAGGTCCAGCTCCCCATGTCCAGGAAGTCCCTAGGAAGCCAAGCAATCAGGTCTACACTGCATTAGGCTGTCGATGCAGAGAAAAGCAGGGGTATGATAAAGTGCGCCCAGAGATCAGCTCCCCGGTCACTCACCGGGAAGCCAGCTGCCACCTCAGCTGAGTGCGAGCTTCTTTTCATGTTGTTTCCTTAAATAAAAGTCATAACCAGCTTGGGAAGAACTTTTCATCAAGCGGAGCAAAGAAATAGAATAGAGCAGAAGAGTTGATGAGGTTAACCAGTCTGTGCCCGTCATTTATCAGATAAGGAAGTTGAGACCCAGAGATGTTGAGTGACTCAGCCAAGGTCACACAGAAGAGCAGAAAAAGCAGTGGTGGAAGCCAGCTCAAAGCCGGGCGTTCACACTTCTAGCTGAGTGCTCCTTATAACACAACAGGGCGCATCCAGGACCTCCACTGACAGTCCTTTCAGTCTGCCTTTCTTCAATCTCTGTTGCTCTTGAACATGAGGGGAAAGTTAGGTTTCTTGAGAAGGGATCTCTGGATGAAAATCATGGCAGCTCATCTCCATGCCTTTGTGCATGCTGTTCTCGCGTCCTTGGAGTCTGTCCTCTGCCTAACTGCTTGAACTCCTTCTCATCCTTCAGGACCCAAAAGAACTATGTGCTGTGAAAATATCCCGTGATTCCCCAGGGCACCTGGTTGTCCCCTGCTCTGTGTTCCCAGGCCCTGACCTTGGCCAGCACTCGGAACGCTCTATGGTGGTTGTTGACTCCTTATGCATCTTCTCCAGGAGTGAAAATTCCTCAAACACACAGAGGTGGGCTTCCCTGGTGGCGCAGTGGTTGAGAGTCCGCCTGCCAATGCAGGGTACATGGGTTCGTGCCCTGGTCCGGGAAGATTCCACATGCCGCGGAGCGGCTGGGCCCGTGAGCCATGGCCACTGGGCCTGCGTGTCCGGAGCCTGTGCTCCGCAACGGGAGAGGCCACAACAGTGAGAGGCCCACGTACCGCCAAAAAAAAAAAAAAAAAAAAAAACGCACAGAGGTAGCAAAATCAAACTTTGCAACCCCACTCACACCTTAAGCTCTGAAGGGATAGATTTTGGACCACAAGCTCCAGGAGGGAGGGAGTTCATTATCCTGTCCTAGCTCCTGGCTCACAGGATAAACTCAAGAAGGGTTTGGTGCTGCCAACGGAATCTGAACAGGGAAGTTCTGCCAAAGGAGGAGCTTCAAATCCTGGAGCCATTGGGCTTTTGACAGATACTACGTGGAGGGGCCAAGCAGGTCAGGCTGACCTGACGGGAGAGGGCGCTAAAAGGTACGAAAAGTCCTCACACGCGTATAGGCCTCCAGGGCTTTTTCACAGATGACCTCATTTGAGTGAACTTTGTAACTGCTCTTGTGTAACCTTCCTCTTACTGCCAAGAAAACTGCTCCCAAATCCGGCTGATCCAGGCCTCAGGACTCTGAGACACAGATGTGGCACAAAGGGAAGGAGTAAATCAGGCTGAGAAATACATGACAACATATCCTTAGGTCACAGGATTGAGGAGAAAAAAAATAAGAGTGACTACAGCCTTGAAATTCCCCTATACACAGCGAGTAGCTCCAGTAAGAATTACTCTCCTTTCATAAAAT